AAATTAAGTTCTTAGCAAAGCATATTACTAATCAAAAATTAAGTTTTAATGTATTTACAGTAGGAAATTTACAAAATATCTTCATGGAACATGATCTTTACTTAATATCCTAATGATTTTTGGCATAAAAGAAAAATCAATCATTTTGATCCATACAATGTATTTTTGGCTATTGCTACAAATATACCCCAGCGACTTAAGACTGGTTTTGTGGTCCAGGGTCACATATGTGGTTATTCAACAATTAACAAACTTATACATTCTAAATAAAATGTAATAAAATATAATATAATAATAATAATATAAAAAATATGCAAACAAATTTTATTTTAATTGATTTAATGTATTAATGCAGTTTAGCTGCCCTGTAAATTGACTGTAATCACATTGCTGCCTAGGAGAAACTATTATGGTTTTGAGACCTTATATGATATATGGTTATCCAAAAATCAGTAAACTCATACATTTAAAAAAATAAGATGAATTTATTGAATACATATTCCATAAACATCAAAAAATTCAATCAAGTAAAATACCCCTGTGATCGCATTGTAAGCACATTACTTTATGGAGAAACAACTGAGATATGAAAAGACCCCACTTGTGGTTACTCAACAATTAATGAACAAACCCATTCTAAAAAAATGTTCAAAAGATAAGTGAGAAAATGAATTCTGTGGATTACACAAGCGAGTATTCTGATACATGCCACCTAAATCCCCTGTAAAGGTGTCACACATATGAAATCGCTGTCATGGAGCGGGACAGACTGAGATAAGAGAGGTTTATAGCAAGCTAGTGTGATGCAGGGCTTAAATTCAATGGCCTGTTCCACTGTGGCAGCCTCATTTGTAATTTGCTGCGATAGAGCAGTCAATGCTTCCTCTTTTCTAAAAGCAGGAAGGGCTGCGGGCAGGTCTTTGGGAAGGATAATCAATTGCAACAGTGAAGTTAATTATAGCCAGAGGGATCTCATCCACAGAGCCGCTGCAGCCCTCACCTAAAAGCACTCTGCTGGACTCTGCTAGCCTTCATTCATGGCCAGAGTATGGACTACTTAGTCATATTAGCTACACTGTACGTCACGTAGAGTAAACAGCAGGATCATTCATGAAATGAGCCTGTATCGGTGCACCTATGCTGCCTTCAAAATCCAACCTGATGCAGGCATGTTAGTATTATTAAGATTAAATAATTTAACAATGATTATATAATAAAGTACTGAATAATTTAACTAATAATGATAACTATATACAGTGGGTACGGAAAGTATTCAGGAAAAATGTAAGGGGGTCTGAATACTTTCAGTACCCACTGTATATACTGTATATTATACATTATATTATACTATAGTAACATTGAAGAACATTTCATTCATAATGCAACATATAAGCAAATATTATGATTTTGAATGTTCTACATGGTGCCTAATATTTCAAGGAGCAATGCACTAAACTTGTGAGGATCATCTGGCTCAAAGCAGTGTGTCCAGCCATTCCCATGGCTTGAAAAATCACCACAGGACACACAGAGGAACAGCTGGGAGGGCAACTGCATGGGAGCACATTTTAACCAAACCCTTCATGTCAGGAAGAACTACAACCCAGCTTCTAGGAAAACATAGTCATGTGCAGTGCATCTTCAGGAATCCGCCTTTCCATGAATAGGGTGTCTTAATCTTGTTTTTTAAAAGATTCATTTAAAAAATGTCATTTGTCTTTTAGCAAAGGTCAGTGACATGAAATGCCTAACCTTTATAAAATGATCCATTGCCCAATTCTGTAGGTCAAAATAAATATTACATGAGCAGTTTTAATTTCTATTTTGTTTCCAGTTATTTATTTTTGCAACCATGAGTCTCTCAACATGTCTAAATACAGTATAAATCTCAGATTTGTTGATAAATACATATTCATTAAACGTCAAAATAAAATACATTTTTGTTTTCACATTTTCTGTTTTAGTCATTTTGTTGTGTATTTTTGTCATTTTTCATTTTCATAGTTTTATTGTCTATACAGTTTTTATCATAACTAAATGAAATTACAAATGTTGTTTTAGTTTTAGGCCGCTTTTACACTGAAGTTTTTGATGCCCAATTCTGATTTGTGAACAATTTCCCTTTTTTTTTTTTTTTTTCTGATGACCAGATTACATATACCCATTTCCGATATCTGCATTTACACTATACACTTGGTGAAACAACCCAGGGTAGACGTACTGACAGGTTGCCAGGTCTGCAAAACAAAACAAGCATAATGGCTGTTCAAAACTAGCCTGTTCGCATTTTTACGTAGTTTACCCCTCCAGCAGGGGGAGAGAGATCACTTTAAACCACGGACTGAAAAACAACCGTGTAAAAGTACCATGGACTTGGCAACACTTCCAGGAAAAGTGTCCACCTGAGTCGATGTCAATCGCCACCATCGTTTTTTCAATGATGTACGACTCGCATTTACAGGGGAATACCCAATCTCTCCGCTTACATGGCAGATGCAAATGCACGTATCTGATTCATAACAGATTTCTTTCCACACATGAATGAGGCCTGGAACCGATCTGAGAATATCAGAATCCATGTGCTTTTTTTTCCTGCTTACACGTTCGTGGGTCATATCCGATCTGTGCCGCATGTTATCTATAACAGGGGTGTCCAATCCTGTTCCTGCAGGGCCAACGTCCTGCAGAGTTTAGTTCCATACAGTTCCAACACAGTTGCCTGGAAGTTTCTAGTGAGTCTTGAAGACCTTAATTGGCTGATTCAGATGTGTTTAATTAGTGTTGGAGCTAAACTCTGCAGGTCAGTGGCACTCCAGGAACAGAATACTACTATTCAGGGGTGGTCGATAATGACCCTGATTCATCCTGAAGTAATGAACAGTATTTTTTGGTAACACTTTACAATGTTACATTAGTTAATGTTAGTTAATGTATTAACTAACATGAACAAACAATGAACAATACATTTATTACAGTATTTATTATTCTTTGTTAATGTTATTTAATGAAAATACAGTCGTTCATTGTTAGTCCATGGTAATTCACAGCGCATTAACTAATGCTAACAAGCACAACTTTTGATTTTAATAATGCATTAGTTAATGTTGAAATTAACATTAGCTAAGAATATTAAATGCTGTAGAAGTATTGTTCATGCTTAGTTCATGTTAACTAAAGTAGTTAACTAATGAACATTATTGTAAAGTGTTACCTATTTTTTTCCCCCTTGCAACTTTTGAAAAGTTAAACTTAACAATTGCGGTCACCACTTCTATGGACAGACATTCGATATTGCCCACCTATTCTTCATGTTATGTTAATTTGATCTCAAATAACAGTTTATCTAAAATTTCTCCCAACCAAAAAAACATGAGATTTGCATTTATAATTCTTAAAAACAAAATAATGGGACACCAGAGTGTACTCTATTCATGGAAAGTGCCAATTACTCTCCTGCAAAGGTTTTCAATGGAGTAGTAGTATTCTTGGGCTGTCATACCCTGTAATCAGTTGAGCTTATTTTATTAAGGATAATCATTCATGTAAAAACAACGGGAAGCACTCTGGTGCACGGCACAGACCCAGTGATCCTGACCACATCTGAACGTCTTGAAGGCTTGTTTACAACTGCGGAAAAGGGAGGAGAGGGCAGACCGAGTGCTGACCACGGCCAGCCAACGCTCCTGTTGCTCTGCTTTCCACCAAAACACATTTATGAGTATGGACACGAATACCCCAGCGCCCCCCAAACTTACTAGAGAGCTTGCCAATGCAGACCTCTAAGTCCACTAAACAAACACTCCCTGTCATCACTCCCCTCCTCTGGAGTGAGAGTTTAATGAGCATTCGGAGGGGCCACGTGCTTTGGCTTGTCAAGGTCAAGTTAAACCATCGGCCTGCGACTCGTTCGTTGGTGTGGCTCCAATGACACATGAAATCAAACACCCCTATCTAACTTAGTTTGAGTTACTGCACTGATTTCAATTAAGATCCAATGGCCGCAACAACATGCAAGTTGTCTGTTTTAATCCTTGTTTTAATCATCATGGCTACACACACTGAAAACTCAAATCAGTAAGTGCACTGATTTTTGAGAGAAGGGACAAAAGGCTACAGGGTGGGGGAAAATTGAAGGTTTACCAAAATCCAGGGAAAAAATAATAAATAAAATTTTAAATAAGAACATAAAAATGAAGTACTTTCTTAAATAAGTACTGTCCTAAAGAAGATACATGATTATCATAAATAACTAAATAATAAAAAAAAAAGATCAGGACCCTGAAACAAAGCTTTCTTGCTATAACCAGATAACTAGTCATCTGTGAAAGGTTTATGCTTACCACACTACAAAAAAAATAATAATAATTATATATATATATATATACTGTATATATATAAAAAAAAATATATATATATATATATATATGTCTATGTATTTTTTTTATGACTGTGTATGTATTGGTTTCCAGTAAAAATATCTAAAAATCCTTAAAACTAAAAAAATATACTTGAGAAGCAGAATTGCACAAGATATTAAAATCTGTTTTCAAAGATTGTTAGCTCTATTATGTGTTACTTGTATTACTGCAATGTATTTTTTTTGTGTGAAAATGCATTTTAGGAATTTTTTGATATTTTTACTGTAAAAAGAGTCTAAAAAGTCTAAATAAGATTTAAAAAAAAGAACAACATGCAACTTTGATGAATCCTATTTTATGATTAAAAAAATAATTAGCATTCTTCAAATTCTGCAAATAAAGATAATGTAATTAAAGGACACCTCTGGGAATAGTCTGTAATAATTTAACTTTGATAAAATAAAATATAAAAAAATATGAAATTGTGCATAGGAATATTCCAGTGGTCATATCCGATAACTGGAAGAATGTCAAAAACAATAGTAGGTTAAACAGAGGAGATGTTTTGTCTCCAGTCTCAAATATCAGTGAATATTAGTGTCCTGATATTTTCACATCTCTTCCAGAATTTACTTTGCTTACTTTTCATGTCATCCAGGTCAGCACTGGCTAGCATCTGAGCCTCGGCCTCGTCTGTAGGTACTTTCTGGTACACCGCGGTTTCTATGGCTGTCATGCTGCCTATACAGATGCGTTCTCGTAGGTCATAGCTGGTCCGTTGGGCTCCAGCCAGCCGGTGGACAGGCTTCCTGCGAAACCAGCCTCGTGTTGTCATACTGGCAGGTTCTGGAGATGGGCTAAACCTGTAAAAAAGAGACCTACAACTGAGTATTGCTTTAAAAACAATGTATTTTAACCCATTTTATATTTGTTGTTATTAGTCTGACGGCATTAACAGAATTGCATTGCTAACAGAGTGAAAGATGGACATGATTCTAGGTGGCTACATTAAGCAAAATGCTGAAGAGGACTAAAAAAATTAAATGGAAAACATTCTGTTTATGCTTGTCATTCCATAAAGGTAACTTTTGACTTAATGGAAAAATACACAGAAAAAAAATGGTGGTGACAAAGTTTAAAAAGAGCAACTTATTAAACTAGCTACATCAGCAGCTATAAATTTGTCAAACTGAGAATAAAATGCAACATGATTATCATGTCAGTTTAATAAATAAAACACTACTTCATTATAAATTCTATAGATTTAATGCTGGCCGTACAGTTCCAATTAATTATTTATTTTCATTTAATAGTTTATTTAACAGGGACATTGACTGCCTGAGAATTAGCTACAGAGCTAAATTTCATGTGAAGGCCCTGGACAAGAAACCCTTGTTATTCAGCTCATGTAGAGTTAACAGAAATTATACACCATAAAAAATGAGATCAAAAAGAAAAAAAAAGACAGACAAATACAAAGTCAAGGGGCCCATAATTCAAAGTTACTGCCCTGCAAAAAAAATTAAAATAACAAAATAAATAACAAAAAATGAAATAAAATAAAATACAGTACAATAAAATAAAATCAAGTCATAAGTTAAATAAGGCAGGCCATTTTTTATATTTTTAGCCTAACCAAATGTGCATTTATATGCTGCAAGAAGCCGGTTAGCCAGCAGAGGGCCATAAAATACAACTTTTCCAGTTCACTCTTTTTGTTTTCACAGTATCACATAGTATGAAAAATAAGTTGCATGTACTTGCCATTGAAAGCACATCTAAAGGTAAGTGCTGTGAATTGACCATTCGGATGAACCACTTGAAAGCCAAAGAACAAAATGTGTCTTACATTAATATATTTTATGTATTGCAGTGTCTAACATTAACTTAATAAACACATTTTAGCTTACTTCCACAGCTTGCTTGCTTTATTTATTTATTTATTTATCTCTTTTTTTTCACAAAAAGACCAAATAAATAGTGATAAAAGCAAAACTATTCAATCTCATGAATGAATATTCAGTGAGTAATCCACTATTTTGTGTGGGGGGGGGTAGGTCTATTAGTAAAATTAGTTGACTTCAGCAATCCTTATTGCATTATATGCCATGGTGACAGTTCAAAAATGGGAAAAAGCACTTTTTAGAAAAGAAAAGAAAATGTGTTCAGAATCAAACTTTTTAACTCTGAATGAATGAAAAACCAGACCTCATTAAGCTAATGAAACCTGGAAGCTCTGTGTATGATCTAAAAAAAATTACTATATCTTATACAGATTTGAATAAATATGATCACAAACAAAATATTTTTCAATATCTTCACATGACATGACGGTGAGTAAATGATAGAATTGTAATGTTCCTTTGGTCACACTTTATTTTAAGGTTCAATTCTCCCTATTAACTAACTACTAACTACGACTTTTGCGTCAATAAACTCCTAATTTGCTGTTTATTAATAGTTAGTAAGGTAGTTGTTAAGTTTATGAGTAGGATTAAGGGCTCTAAAATATGGTCATGCAGAATAAGGCATTAATATAATATGTGCTTTATAAATAAAGGCTAGTAATATGCATGCTAGTTAATAGTGAGAATTGGTTCTTAATTTAAAGTGTTACCGTTTCTTCTTCAGGCAACCCATTAACATGTTTTCAGGTCTTTAAGGTATAGACCTATCCTCACTTATTATCCACGTACCTGTTAGAAACCTCTTCCTCCTCTCCTCCATCCGGGCGCTCTGGTGTTTCCTCCTGCTCCTCCGTTCCGGCGGGGCTGGGTGGGGTCTCCTCACTGCTCGTGGGTCTCTCGCTCTCCATATGGAAGCTGGTGAGAGGGAGATCGGCCGCCAGATCCTCCTCACTTCCCAAACTGAGCTGTGAGATCACAACACCTGTCAGCATCTCTCCATTATCCCATCCCATCTCCCAACAGAAAGTGGTGTAGAAAGAAACTTTATTGTATAAAGTATACACTTTTATGTATGTGAAACCGAATGCAATGACAAATATTTGAAGCAACACTACTCTACACTGTTGTCACATGACCTCAATATAATATGTTGCATGCTTAATTTGACAAGTGCTGTCGATATGGTTATTTCTTGCACGAAGTGCAATAGAATGGGTGCACAATCATTCTAAATATGCATATTTATACTAGACAAAAATATACATATTTCTAAAATATGTGTCGTTATACAGTAACAATTAAGGGACTATTGTAATGTAATATGTTCAGATGAGTGATGTGTGTCGTACCTTGTACCAGATAACATTTAGTCTGTGCTTTTTTGCTTTGTTATTATCATTTTTAATTTAGTGATTTTACCTTCTACTTTTAAAGGGCAAGCAATGAGTTTAAACTCCTTTTTGGCACATAATGTTTGACTGCACAAAGCCAACATACTGTAGATAAATTCAGCACATTTGGTTTCATTGCTTTCAAACCACATATTGTTTGGAGGACAACAATTTTGTAAATAAAAGATTAAAATGAATTTATATTGTAATTACAATTATTATTTTAAATAATTATTCTTTTTGGGATCAATCGAAAAATCAAATGAAATAATCGACAGATTGAAAAATTATTTGTTAGTTGCACCCTCTTAGCTTTTGATAGTCCAATCACAAAATAAAAGAAAGAAAATAAAAAAATTGCATTCAACATTATTCCCCTGCATATTTCACAAGTTGAAATGGAAGGTCTCGTCAAGTGCACTGCATTGTCGCACACAATATGCAACATTTTAGGTTACATATTTGGCAGTATTAGCTCATCTAGGTATACCAGTATAATAAAGTCACATATACATAATGCATTTTGCACAATTAGTAGTATGGTAATTTAGTAAACTTCAAGTTACCTGTGGCAGCTCTTCAGATGGCTCAGTAGGCGTGACTGCTTGGCACTGTCCCTCCGTCTCAGACTCCGCCTCCTCCTCATCCACCTCATGAATAGTGGGCGTGACATCTGACGGGGGCATGGACGTCTTCTTTTTCTTCCTCTTTTTCTTTCGCCGGCGGTCCATACTGAGCACCCTCTTTCGGAAACGCTGCGGGGGGAGGTGGGTGGACAGGGGGTGGTGGGTGTGGTGGAACGTATGCCGGTGATCTGTGCATAAAGAGAGAGAGAGAGAGAGAGATTAAAAGCCTGTCCACTTAACAAACTATAGCTATATCTATAACTATAAAACTTTTACTAATCGTTCTAATTCTGTGAGAATAGGGAAGTATACTCTACAACTATAAAGATTACGACACAGATGAACGATATTCTTGGAATCACACTTAGGCTACGTCCACACGAAGCCAGAGCTTTCCCTAGCCGATCTTTTCTCAAGAAAAATCTGCGTCCACACGAAACCACGAAACTGACACAAAACAATGTAGTATACATGCCAGACCAGCATGTGGCACTGTAATTCTGCCACATAGATACACTAAAAACGGAGAAGAAGACTTGGACTGTGCGCACAATCCTTGCGTGCGGTATACAAACGAACATGGAACAATACATTTATTAATCAGTGTCAATGTTAGTTAATAAAAAGACAATGGTTCAGTGTTTGTTCATGTTTTTGTTGCTGTTACGTGACGTAGCGGTGTCTGACTAGGGGCGAGACGTGGGCTGATGACGTCAACGTTTCAGAAAATATACGGATTCGCTGTCCACACGAAAACGCAAGGGCAGCGTTTTCAGATTTAGCCACTCTGGGACCCGGTTTCAAAAAATATCGGTTTCACTCTCCCAAAACTCCGGATCCATCTGGACGAAATGCCTATTCGATACAAAATGTATGCGTATACAGCTAAACGCGTGCATCTCCGTGTGGACGGGGCCTCAGAATGATTTTTTTTCCAGCTGAACAATAAAAAACATTGATAGCCAATCAGAATCCAAATCTTGAGCATTTAAAGCAACAGACAAAACTATGCACGTGCTTATAATAAACAAAATGTTACTGTCCATTGGTGTGGACCATAATATAGTTATCGTTCTTGGTTTGAACGTCCTTACGTAAAGGATGACTGTGGACTGATACAAGAATCTAGAACAGCCATGTAGAAAATGGGTTAGCTGAGACAACGTCAATTATACAATTCAGCACAACTATACAAACATATTTGACCGCAGAATGGCAGCCATTGATCAGATCATCAATAAGAATCAAGCATTCCAGAGAGCTGTGTAATAAGCAATGATAAAGTCTTTTACAAGGTCACAGACAATAAGGCTGCCATAGTTGTCACATGTATGGTCTTTGTGTTTTTGGTTTTGTCTTTAGTGCCTTGTTGTTTGACCCAGTTTGTGATTATTGTATTTAGTTCACCTGTTTTCTATTAATTAGCCTATTAATCTTCATTTGGTTTAGTACTTACAGTCCCATGTTTCCTGAGTTTGGTGTCCTGTCTTAATGTCGTGTTTGGACATGTTGCTAGCCCGTGTCTCTGTATTTCCCTATTATTATTTGGATTAAAGACTATTTCCCTTGTTATTCCGTCTTCGTGAGTACTCTGTTTAGCACATTCCGTGACAATAGTAACATCCCCTCCAATGCTAGCATTAGTTAGTTCCTCTCACACAAACATTTCTGTTGCCAAGTATCTCCTATTTCACAAGCTTGAATCTAAAAAGCACTAAATCAATGAACAAATATGATGTGCAGACTTTTTTATATTAAAATACTTTATACACTACCGTTTAGGTTAGTAATATTTGAAAATAATAATAATAATAATAATTTTATTCAGCAAAGATGCATCAAATTGATCAGAAGTGACTTTTAACATTGTTACAAAAGATTTATATTTCAAATAAATGCTATTCTTTTGTACTTTCTATTTAATATTAAAAATATTAAACGGGGTAACACTTTATTTTAAGGTGTCCTTGTTACACGTTACATGTACTTACTATTATAATAACAATTAATTATGCATAATTACATGCAAGTAACCCTAAGCCAAACCCAACCCTAACCATATAGTAAGCACATGTAGTTAATTAATATTACTCAGTGCTTAAATGTATAATTACACTGTAACAAGTACACCTTAATATAATGTTTAACCTTAAACGGTTTTCAACATTGATTAGAAATGTTTCTTGAGCAGAAAATCAGCATATTAGAATGTTTTTTGACGGATCATGTGACACTGAAGACTAGAGTAATGATGCTGAAAATTCAGCTTTACATCACAGGAATAAATTCTATTTTGAAATATATTAAAACAGAAAACAGTTGTTTTAAATTGTAATAAAAGTTCATAATATTACCTTTTTGCTGATCAAATAAATGCAGCCTTGGTGAACAAAAGTGACTTCTTTCAAAACCAAAAAAATTATAATAATAAAAATCGTACCAACCCCAAACTGTTAGGAAGGTAATGTGAGTGTTCTAGAAACATCTTTTAAAAATTCATTCCATTTGGTGAAATTCTGGTCATAAAAAACAAATAATAATAATACATTTTTTTTTTTTTTTTTTAATAGGAAATAAATAAATAAGAACTTATTTGAAATCGGACATTTACATACAAAACTGGAAGCAGATGGTTGGAAATGATTATGGATTTGTGTCGTCAACCGAAAAGGAAAGTCGCATCAGAGGTATTTTTGGAATAACACTGATCAATTGTGCACAATAAGATTAAGAATGTGAAGAATGTGAATTTCATGCTGACTGTATGAGTAGTTTTAGCCACACAGAGATGTTAACATGTGATTTATACTGCAGCAGCTCTGTGTTCAGGTTGCCTCTCGGCTCCGCTGTGAATGAATCACACGCTAGTTTACACCTACTGTCGCCACATGTAGATGGAAATGTGGGCCTTGATATCAGGGTCCGGAAAGCGACTAGCACAGCCCCACAGGAGGCCAGGGAATGTGAGAGAGCCATTAAAAGTCTTGTCTGTACTTCTGAGGCTCCTTCCGCAGAATCACATTTCTGGACATGGATTCTTCTACCAACCAGACAGTTTGAAAACATTTTAAAGTTTAACCGCTTTTAATAAAGTATGTGTTGAATGACCGTATCTTTGACCTCATTTACACCTCTTATTAACATTTGTCTCTGGGAATTCGGTCACAAGCGGTTAGCACTAAATGTAGCTCTAAACACTGATGTGCAAAAAAGTCAAATGCATTTCGTCAAAACTGATTGGGTCTCTTAGAGCAGTGTTTCCCAACCGGGGTGCCGTCTGTCGAGAGCAGGGGTGCCGTGTAAAAACAATCCTTTTTTAATATTTTTAAATTGCTAAAATGTTCAAAAAAGCATCTATTATATAATATCCATTTCTGATGTCGCCAATAATTAGAGATGCACCACAATTTCGGCTGCTGAAAATTAGTTCACCGCTCAGGTTTCGCTTTCACGTGGTGTGATGCTCTGTGTATTATCCCGCTCTATGCGTGTGCGCTCCGCTCAGTCGCTTCACTCATATACCGTTCATGCTCATCGGAACAGCAAAGCCCACTCAAAAATTTAGCCGACAGGAAACATGGATGTAGTACAGCATTGTTTCTGTCTGCAATAGCCCTACTGTGCTGTAACATGGTGTGGTAAATGAGCAACTCTGGTAACGCTGCCCTCTCATTCATTGATCTGCTAACCGCTATGTTATGCTCATGTGTTCTGATAATAATAGCTTTCTAGGACTAAACATTATTTGGATAATTGTTAAAAAAAAAAAAACAAGGTTAAATATCTTAACCCTACTTTTAGACCTACCTGAAAAACTAAAAAGCAATTTATTTAATTCGAAGGCCCGTCGTTATTTATTATTTGTGCTATCATTATTAATTTCTTTATTTGTTCTTATTTTATTACTGACTGCTTACTTGTCATTTTTTATTCAATTCAAATTTTGAAATCTCATGCTACTGCACCAAAATTACCCCACTGTAAAATTAAAAAAACACTGAGTGTGCAAAAATTTGTGAGATAGCTAGTTATAATGGTAATTAAATAATGTTTACATATGTATAAAAGCCTACATTAAAATCTGTCATATAAATTGGTCTCTTCATTAGAAATTAGCATACTGATTGCCATCATTGATGGACAACATTTTTACATAATATTAAAAATATCTGTATGACATTATATTCTGCCGTTCTTCCCTGTTGTACCGAATATCTATACTTTTCAAATTATCATATCGATGTTAGAAATTCAAATATTGTGACAGAATTAATTTTGTAGGGTGCCACAAGTTTGTTAAAATTTCCAAAAGGTACCGCGACTAAAAAAAGGTTGGGAAACACTGTCTTAGAGTGTGTGATCTGTCATGTGGCAAATGGGTTTGGCCCAACTATGCTCAGGTTCAAAGAAAATGGAGCGTGAAAATAGATATCAGATCAATTAAAATTCAATCAAAATACTTTGGAGCCATTTTCCCTCAGTTTCAGCATTGGTGCAGAAACTGCTTTTGTTTTTATGGCAGAGCAGATCCAAAGCGTTGTGTGATCGGATCACTCAAATCACATTTGAAGGAAGTCAGAAACGCATCGATTGCATTTAAATTATGAATGCTAATGTGTCCTAAACCGTCTCCATACTGTCAATCACCAATTATTGTAAAACCAAAGTTTTATTTTTTTGCCAAAAACACGGGGCGAAAAATAATCAGAAAAGGACTAGCGAAATACTAGAAATGTTGTTGGTACAGTGTTATTTTAGTATTATTTATATACTATTACAATATTTATTTGTATTTTGAGTTAGCTTTTACTTTTATATTTTCATTTGAATTGTAGTTTAAGTTTTAGTAATTGTGTTGTGCTTGTGTCACTTTTATTATTTTTTTAAGTGTTTAAGCCTTTATTATTTTTTAAGCGTTTTATTCGTTTTTGCATTTAAGTTTTTTATCTCATTTTTATTTCAATTAACAAAAGCTTTTTTATTTTTCTGTCTTTTATTAATAAGCAGGAAAAAACCTGTACTCTATGAAATCACAAACCAACATGACTGATTATTATTATTATTATTATTATTATTACTACTACTACTGCTGCTGCTACTACTAATAGTAATTGTTAATATTAATACAAAATAATAATATATGCATATTAATAAAAATCTATTATTTTAAATTACTGATTTACATTATTAATTTAAATAAAACGATCAATTACTAAAATCAGTATTAATAAAAAAATTAATAAATTATATATTATAATAAAAATAATGTTAAAAATAATAAATACAATTAATATTAATCATTTAAATTCCTAAATTATATTATTTTATCATTAATTATAATAATTTTAATTTACATACAAATTAATACTAATATCAATATCATTAATAACACTTGCAATAATAAGAATTATTATTATTATCATCATCATCATCATCATTAGAAATCAGAATCTGTCTGACCTGACCACTAAACTTGTGATCAGATCATCCTTGATAGATGTCAAACCATTTCTAAACCAGCATGACATGAAGATTACCCACCCAGGAATTATTAAAAATGAGTGCACATATAAATATTGTGAGTTATGTGTCAGACAGTACTTACACTCAAAGTCTTTCTCATTGTAGCTGCGGCCCATTTTGTCTGCGCCATTGATGGCAGACTCAGTAATGATGTCCCCAAACCTCTCCACAGACAATGCCTCCCATTCCTCATCTTCTTGTCCTGCTGTGGAGACCGTCTCTTCTTCTGACAAAACCTACAGAAGGGATCATTTGAAACCACACAGTAAGTGCCAGACAGATGTTCCACATGCTAAAACACATTTGAGGAAGTAAGGGAAATAAACTTGAGGCCAAATGATTCCTTCTGGCACACTCTGGAGAGTTTGAGCAGTTACGGCCAGATGTTTCATGTTCTCTCAGCTTGAACCACAACCACTAGCGATAACCACTAACCCAGTGTGCCGCAATTCTGGATGGGTGATCAACCAGATGTCATTATTTGTAGCCCACTGAAGAACAGGGCATTATGGTGACTAAGGCTATGTCCACACGAAGCCAGAGCTTTCCCTATCCAATCTTTTTTTTCTCCTCGTCTCAAGAAAAATCTGCGTCCACATGAAACGGACACAAAACGATGTAGTATATATGCCAGACCAGCATGTGGCGTTGTAATTCTGCCACAGAGATACACTAAAAATGGAGAAGACGACTTGGACTATGCGCATAAACCTTGCGCGCGGTATACAAACGAACATGGAACAATACATTTATTAATCTGTGTCAATGTTAGTTAATAAAAAGACAATGGTTCAGTGTTTGTTCATGTTTTTGTTGCTGTTACGTAGCGGTGTCTGACTAGGGGCGAGACGTGGGCTGAAGACGTCATCGTTTCAGAAAATATATGGATTCGCTGTCCACACGAAAACACAAGGGTGGCGTGTGGACGGGGTCTTAGAAGCATCATCGATATTCTAGTTTTTGTTTTTTTATCTATAACATGAGTTATGACACATAACAATTTGGCCCCTTCCTACAACTTTTGACCCTTGTCAGACTTAGTGACCCTGTTGTTTGCCTGCAACTGTTCCCATCAGAGCAATATGCTTTCTAGAATATATAAAACAAAGAAGTTCAGACATCACCAGAGAGAATGTTGGTCAAATAAAAGCCATTCTGTGTTAAATAGTGAGGGGAGACAGATTTCGGTAACATCTTATTTAGTGACCCTGCTTTATATCTGGAGCTTTTCACACCAGACCAAATTGCTTTGTGTTATTATTATTATTATTACTGCTGCTACTTGTTACGTAATGTGTAGATATAATTTATAATTAATTAATTTATGCATTTAGATTTTATCCAAAGCGACTTACAGTGCATTCATGCTGTGACACTGAAGACTGGAGTTGTAATGTGGAGGAGTGACAACTCCAGTCTTCAGTGTCACATGATCCTTCAGAAATCATTCCAATATGCTGATTTATTACAGTTTTGCAGCTTAATATTTTTTTGGGAACCTGTGATACTTTTTTCAGGATTCTTTGATGAATAAAAAGTTAAAAAGAACAGCATTTATTCAAAATAGAAATATTTTGTAACAATATATAATGCTTTTATTCAGCAAGGATGTGTTAAATTGATAAAAAGTGATAAAGACTTATATTGTTAGAAAATATTTATATTTTAAATGCTGTTCTTTTTAACTTTATTCATCAAAGAATCCTGAAAAAAAGTATCACAGGTTCCAAAAAAAAAAAAGCAGCAACTATTTCCAATATTGATAATAAATCAGCATATTGGAATGATTTCTGAAGGATCATGTGACACTGAAGACTGGAGTTGTAACGTGGAGGAGTGACAACGGGGTTGGTGGATCCAAGTGCAGGCTTTATTCCAAGAGAGTCGTCAAAACATGCAGGGTCAAACAACAGCAAACAGGTATAATCCAGGAAGAGACAAAAGAGTAATCCAATAAACAGGCGAAGATCAGGGCATGCAGCAAATGATCAAAAACAAGCAGAGCCTATCCTCCCTATACGCAAAATACAGAAACACCAGGGGGTCCCTTTGCTCTCAAAGATGATTTCATTTTAGTTTTGTTTTTGAATTTGGCCAGCTGTGTGAACGGCCCCTTGCAGTAATAAGAGTCTCCTTCAAAAATAGCAGCGCTGACAACATATATATATATATATATATATATATATCATCTCTCAACCTACTTGTTTTGACTCATTTTGGGGCTTTACCGGAACAGGGCTGTCCTTAGGGGGGTGCCCACAATTAATTTCTTAAATTAGCCTTTGACTATGTTCTGGCCCACCATCTAGTGGCGAATAATTTTTTTGGCCCGATGCCAAACTTACTTGCCGACCTCTGCTTTACATAAGCGCAAAGACATCTGGATGCATTACAGTAATAATAATTCGGAGGGGGAAATGTGTCATAAAATTAATGTCCCAATGCAAAAATCCGAATGATCTTAACATTTGTGGATTTAGCAGATGCTTGCATAAATAAAATGAGTCTTAAATGAAGTAATTTACACAAAAATAATTTCTAAATAATACAAAATGTGCTCACAGATGCTGCCAACGAGTGATGGGAGCTGAGAATTATGTAAATGAGATGTCATTGACTCATTGGCTTATAAACAACTCCATTAGTGTCATTAAATAGCGGCAGGGAGAGACACCGTCCTCTCCTTGAAAACCCCAGATCATCCAGTTCACTGCTGGCATTTCAGTAGAACACTGCGGCGAGATTCACAGAATCTGCCCTTTCCCACAGTACCAGCCATGACTCACTGTCACTATGGAAAAATATTTCATTACACGGTTTTGCAAAGAGAGGAGATTTCAGGCAGAAATGGTCTGCTTCCTTTTCTTCAGGATTTCAAATAGATGTCAAAAGCAGGTCAAATGTGTGTTCCTGAAGCATTGAAGCTAACGCTGGAAACTTAGACCCTTTGATTTTTTTTTGAGGAAAAAAATGATACTGACAACCTACAGTGACTTAGCAAAATATGTAAACAGTTTAATAATGTAAAAATGCATTTGATATAAATCTATATAGTTGTGAGCTTCATTATTGTTTTTTATTTTATTTTTCACTATTTTAATTATCAAGAATTATATAAGATTCAAATCAGAGTTAATTTCCCAGTATGCAGCAGTCCATTCAAGCATGCAAGTCTGTTTACAAGTAATCTAATTGTGCAACAAATTACATGGGTTGAATAATATCCAATATACCACATGCTGTAACTTTTTTAAGGAGAACAGGTAGCATCAGTATTGTGGGGGAGCGGTTATTCCAGCTGTACACAGCACTATGAGATCATCGTCGCCATGACAACATGAGCTCAGACCACTGAGAATAGAGAGATCCTCGACCCAGTACAGTGTAAACACTGATAACACTAGGGGGACCTCAGGGGACCGATTAGGACCAGACATCTATTCCAGGGACAATAAATCCTATGCTAGGATCTCCTCTCTTATTTCGCTCATAAACACACGAAGGCTTAGGAAAATGTGCATGTATGTACAAGAGACATAAACTAACAATATATCATCATTGATCTGCCATTTCTTTTACTGCTGCATGACTCATTATGCTGCTTCTGTGTTCACTGCGCTGCTACTGAATCCACAGAAGAAATTATATTTTCCCAGTGTTGTGAGCTTGCCGTCTAAATTTAATGTGATTAGATAGATAAATTGAGCAAATAATAAATAGTCAACACTTGACAGGGTGTGTTCTAACTCATGAACAAATTACTCTTATGAGTCGATTTGTTGAGTGAATCAATCAGATAAAATTACAAACTCTCAATCTAATAAATGACTAAATTCATTCAACTCACTTTTTAAATGGATGTTTTTGACAACATGTAGTTGAAATATGATACAAAAACTGTATTGTGCGCATGGTCCGTGTAACCCTCTTTGTTCAATTCGCACCATCAAAATGAAAATGAAAAAGTTTAAAATTAATGAAAAGTTGGCTTCAAACTTTCATTTTCAATTTCTTTGGGGCAATTTACAAACGGATAATTGTCTCTCATTTTAATTTTCAATTTTACGAGTTTGGGCTGTTGCGCCCGAATCTGATTTTTTAAGTAACATAAAAAATTACTCATTATTCTGATTTTCCACTTCTCTGTTTTGCGCTCCCGTACCAGTGGGGGGAACGTACCAGTGGGGGGAGCGGGGGGTGGGGATGTGGATGTATTTACCCAGATCGCTGTAGGTATAGGCCCTATGCCTATGCATTGGCACGTCTGACCATGCAATCATTTATCATCAGACCTCCATTAACTGTGTGACTGCACGTTAACAACCACAGATTTTCTGGAAGATGTGTGAGTGGAGTGTGCTTGATGATTACGAAAGTGTAATCCGCAGGTTAGTAGAGGAGCTGGGATACACATGCAAACAAGTTTCACGTGTTTACCTAGAAAAACAATGGAAATGTTGCGCAATGGAATGGAAAAAACGCATTCTGTGTGAACGGCCCCTTGCAGTAATAAGAGTCTCCTTCAAAAATAGCAGCACTGACAACATATATATATATATATATATATATATATCATCTCTCAACCTACTTGTTTTGACTCATTTTGGGGCTTTACCGGAACAGGGCTGTCCTTAGGGGGGTGCCCACAATTAATTTCTTAAATTAGCCTTTGACTATGTTCTGGCCCACCATCTAGTGGCGAATAATTTTTTTGGCCCGATGCCAAACTTACTTGCCGACCTCTGCTTTACATAAGCGCAAAGACATCTGGATGCATTACAGTAATAATAATTCGGAGGGGGAAATGTGTCATAAAATTAATGTCCCAATGCAAAAATCCGAATGATCTTAACATTTGTGGATTTAGCAGATGCTTGCATAAATAAAATGAGTCTTAAATGAAGTAATTTACACAAAAATAATTTCTAAATAATACAAAATGTAATGTTATACACACACATTACATATTTGTATGTATGTATGTATGTATGTGTGTGTGTGTGTGTGTGTGTGTGTGTGTGTGTGTACGCGTTTTTGTGACAAATGAGGACATAAATTTGTATAATGACAAAGGTATGATATAGGTATTACAAGGAGAAGGTGACTTTTCAGGACATTACCCCATGTCCCCATTTTTGAAAACGCTTATAAATCACACAGAATGGAGTGTATTGAAAATCTGAAATAGCACAAAGTTTCCTGTAAGGAGTAGGTTTAGGGGTAGGGTTGGTGTAGG